GAATGGCTGCCTTTAGCCTCCTGTTCCCCATTTTTTTTATTATTTTAGGTTGTATAGACAAACAGTGCCCTTGTTGGCTGCCCTCCCATCTTGCCTCTAGGGATGACATGTTTTATTAATCAGCTCCAGAGATCTCTGTGGGTCTGGCCCCTCTGGCTGCCATGCCAACCTTGCTGCTCATTACGATAATTGCGCCCTTTGGGTCCCCGGCATTTTGGGGCCTTCTCATCCTCACTGTTTTTGGGGGCCCAGTTCTGTTATGGCATCTTCTCCCGTCAGCCCCGGCCTACAGGGTTGCTAGCACCTTGTTCTAGCACCTTCCCTATTGCTTGGGAAACAGAATGTCCCCCAGCCTCTCTTGCATAGCAGAGGCATCTTTCCTAGCACGCCCCCCGCAGCAGGGCCATCACTCTGAGCTTTGGGACCCTTTCCTCCACCATCGCCCATGGCCGTGCTGGCATTTCTCCTTGACTCGGTGTCAGCCACTATTTTCTCCCAGCTGAGCCGCTTATTAGCAGCAGGCCAGCCCCTCATCCCTGGGTCCTCACCAGGTTGTTAAATGTCCATCAATGCACTCTCCCTCGTCTCACTTTATATTCTGTCTGCCCTTGACCCAGCACCCCCAGAATCTAGTCCCATGGGCTCTCCCAGTTCCAGCGGGTGCACATGGTGAGGTCCTACAGCTCCTTTGGGACGCAGTTCCTCCCCTCTCCCAGCAGGCCCAGCACTTCGGCAGCCAGCTTACTGCGGCAGCGTGACTTAGCCCGAGTGGCCGGGAGGCAGGGGTGGGGGTGGGGGCTGCATTGTCTTGCACAGAAGCAGCCTGGGCATTGCTCTCAAGCAGAGCCGGCACCAGCTTCTAGCAGGGAGGAGCTGGCCACTTAGGCCCAGGGACAGCTCACCGGAATCTGGGATTGAAGATTGTTCAAGTGCATCACCCCAGAGAGCCCTACCCATCTCAGCCTGGGCTCTGACCTGGGGCAGCAGAGCTTCGGAGCCCAGGGGTGCAAGCTCCTCTGGAGCTCAGCTTCTCAGTAGAAGCCCCGGGCTGATCCCTGGCTGTAGGACATGAGTCTCTCTGGCTTTCACAGTTAGTCTGTAAATGGTTATTAATCACCCTCAGCTTTTCATTGTCTCTTCCCCGTGCAAGCAGCAGCAGTCATCCAAGTCCACTGTCCTTATTTCTGCTTCCCTTTCTCAGATGCCCGCCACGCTGCACCCTCCAGCGCACCCCCTTCCACAGCACGCCAGCCCGAGTCCCCAGATCAGCATCTGCGGGGCAGGGATGCAGGACTGGGCGGAGGGCGAGGCTGAGCTGTGACGCAGCTCCAGGAAAGCTTCAGCCAAGCCTACGGGGGTTCTGGAGCCGGGCTGTTCAGAACTGCGTTGTTCATCGCTGTTCTGAGATGGAGCTGGGAGCTGGGTCTTTATACCTCCTCGCTGACCCACCATGGGATGTGCTTGGTTCCAGGAAACGGAACAAGACCTTGAGTGAGACAATTCTCTCTGGCTGGGGAACAATCTCCAGGGAAGGGCTTGGCAGGGAGCTGGTAGAGGCCAGCACTCCCAGAAGCTGGGAGAATAAACGCTTCCATCCTGGGGTGGGAGCAGAGCAGGGAGGGGGATCCGGGCAGCGCACTGTGCAGGCATCCAAGTCCCTGTGCTAGCTGCACACTAGAATTCAGCATAAGGGGCATGCATAACTCATTCTTAAAATGAGGGTTTTATTTGTTTTTTTTTTAAAGAAAATGAAACATTTTAATGTTTTTATTAGGGTTTTTAATCTTTTATTAGGGTTTTTGCCTTATAGGTTTCAAGTGTCCTTTGGCACAGGAGCCTGGCTTTTTGTAGTAGCAGTGACAGCTGCGAGTGAAATGCCATCTGGATTGTTGGTGGTAGCTACCAATGCCCTTCAGGTTGTAGGTCTGAAGTAGTTTACGCCCATTCTGATCACATACAACTTCGGATTTCCAAAAATTCCTACCATATACCCAACACCCTCCTAATTAATTTCAATTTATTCTTCAATGCCCAGCCCAAATGCTTCCTCTCTGGGAAGCTGAACTTGACACTACGCCCGCAGAACTGATCACTCCTGTGTTCCCGTCACTCTTCCCTGTCCCTGTTTTTACCCCTTACTCCACAGAGTGACGCTCTTCATTAAGAGTGTGAGCTCAGCACCAAGGGAAAAACACAACACAGAACATACGCTTGGCATGTACATTCCATAAATGCCTGCTGATTGAATAAAAATAATGATTCACTGCCATATCTTTAAGTTACTCAGACATTTTCACTAAAACTCAAAGTGCTGCTGGGTAGGTCAAGCTTTAGAGAATACGTTTCCCATTTGGGTAAACCGAAGCGCTAAGTCGTTTTGATGGTGGGCAAAACAAAGATGATGTTGGCAACAGAACCTACATATTCAGTTTCCTTTGCTTCGGCGATTCCGTGAAATCCACTCTATTACTGCTTTGTCTAGAGTCTTGTTCCATCTTGATAGATGTGTATTTGGAGGCTATTCATTAAGAAACTCAAAAGTTATCCCTGATGCCAGTGTGAGTCCTACATTTAATGTGGTGATCTATTTTCTTTTTGAGGAATCAGTGACAACTCCAGCCATAGTCAGCCAATCCCACTCACTGGCATATATTCTGGCATTTTTTCATGTCCACAGATTTGGTGAGAAGCTGGCTGGCGACATGTAGCAAGATGGCAAAGCAGCTGGTGACTACAAGCAGAACCACGACAGCTCCCCCTTTGCACAAGGCTCCCAGCCGTCTTACTGGAGTCCAGGTAAAGATGGAAACATAGCACAGGACAAAAATCCAACAGGTGCCCAAAGAACACAGGTAACCTTGTCTACCCATGCTCAGTAAGGGCTCTACATGTCTACTAACAACATGAGCTTACAGTCACCGAGTGCTGACTATGTGCCGTTCTCCCCAGCATTTTACAGGCACGACATCATGGATTTAACAAATGCAGCACATACTTATGTGATTCCTACTCCAAATCAGACATGTGCTAGATTCCTGGCCTTCTCTGGGAAACCTCAGAATATTGAAGATATTGAAGAGTCTTGGCTGGCTTTCTCTTTTTGAAGCAAATTCAAAATTTCCAGCCTGATCCTCAGAAAAGTGAAATTTATGAGTGAGAAAGTATACACATGGAAGGTATATTTGCACTGTAATTAATACTGATCTAATTGGCATATGTGTAGAGCAGGCCCGATGGACACACCCAAGAGTTACTTTAGATGCTCAGGACTCCTTAGTCCTCCTGAGCTTGTGTGGAAGGAATGGGCACCACTGGCTTTTAAGTTTTCTTATCTGTAGGAAAGAAAATAATCTATATCGGTTTGATGGAGGTATTTATCCACAGAATGAATAGACCCAATATTGCTGGTGAGAATGAAGTGAATTGCTTACCTTCTTAGAGGTGCATAAAGTTCTTACTTAGAAGGGCACTAATTAGAATACCTTTATAAGTAATTTGCTTAAAGGGATTTGGGAAACTAGAAACAATTTAAGTTACAATTTAAGTACAAGAGCTCTTTTCTCATGCAAATGCTTGAACCAGCTGTGAAGGAGGTCTAAGCTTTCCAATGTGTAATGGCAGAATCAACATGAATTTCAAAACCAAATTGAGATGTCAACACAAAATGATGTAACCACTCAAAAAAGAATTTATATCCAAAAAGATACACAGAAGCAAGGAGCCTGAATGCCTTTTGGGCATTCAATATGCAGAGAGCTGCCTCTACAAAATGCAAGGATTGAAGAGGAATGACAGCCTTGAAACACACAATAGTGAGCTTGGTTCATTTCAACAACAATTACAAGTATGAGCCTCTCTATGGTCTTTTTTTTTTTTTTTTGTACACAGCAACAAGAACCGAACATCTAATTTTTGAAATTCTTCTGGCTTTTCTTTTTGACCTTTGGTATTTGTATGTATTGACGATCTCTAAACCATTGCACAAAAACACCTTGAAGTGTCAAGCTTTAAAAATGAGTCTTCTTTTCTCTTTCTCCCGTGCAGCCTGGATTATCTTGGCCTTGTCAAAATACATTCTCTAGTTAGAGGGTGGAAATATTTCCCTCTTGGCTCCAAAGTATTGATTTTCTTCAACACTCAGCTCTGTCAGTCAGCCGAAGGGGTGAAAGGTGAAAGTTCACCCAGCACTGCATTGGCTTTACCTTCCTATTAATGTCAGACCCTTTCCACATTTGATCAGTTTATGTGATCGCCAATCACACAGGACTGTTACTGCCCCTGTTTTCCCTATAAGGATACATTTAACTCAGATGTTATGATGGTTTCTAGGGCCAAAACTGGCCTTTGAGAGGGCCAAAGGTGCCACAGTCCACACCTGTAATGTTCACATCTCATTCTTATGGAGGATCATGACTACATGATGACTGGCACAATTCAAGCTCTTCTATGTTCCTATCCGAAAGAATTAAAAGTACATTTGCTACTTACACACAGCCTCCTGTGAGCAGTAAGGACCTATATTTTGTTATTCTTGCTTTTTCTGAAAACCAATTACAACCTTTACCTCAGGGATTCAAATTCAACTCCAACCTGAGTATTAAATGAAATGATCTAAATGATCTCAGCCCAGCTCCCATGAGGCAGCCAACCCATGTCATCGAATCTGACAAGATATAATTTGGTACCATTAACAGTCTAGTTAGGAGCACCGTAGGGTGGAGATAAAGCGACGTGCATGCGATTCCCTCGCCCAAACCACAGAGGATGCTGTTGCGTTTCTGCGACGAGAGTTTCCCTCAGGTTGTCTCAGCTTCTGCAGGGCAGGCCAGGGACTTCCTTATCCGGGGCTCTGCCGTCCTCTGGGAACAAGTCTGCCTGTCCTGACGCTAGCTCTCCAGGGTAATGGATAATCAGAAACAGGCGAGGGGAGCATATGGATTTCAACTGAGAGTGTTTAAAAAGAGGCAACACTGGAAAAAGTAATAATAAGAGCAAAACAGTTTCCAGTACAATTCAGTTTTATTTAACACACATATGTACACAAGGACATTCAGCATGTATACATCTATTAGTGGAGCCATCGAGAATTTTCTGGAGAGGCAGACACTTTAGTCCACTCTTTGCACGATGAGTTCAATCATTACATTTTCATATAGGTGTCACATCATGTCATCTTTTGCTTGTAAATTACCAATCGAGCCACACATGTCTCTATACACACAAGGACAGGTCCAAACACAATGCCAATGGAATCAATAAAACACAAAAAAGTGCACACTAGGATGACAATACGAAGTTTACCTCAGTGCTGAGAAATCTGAGCTGGGATGAAATTTGGGACTGTGGTTGTCAAAATAGCCAAGGAGAGATTTACGTTAACAAGAATGCAAATATTAGTTTAGTCGTTAGAGATGTCTGTCTAACCACCAGACATCACCCATACAGAATTTTGCGACCATGGTGTTCTCCTGGCCAATTGGCTTGGCTTTCTGTTCACGCAGGATGCATGAAAGGCGGTCCCCAGGCCTGCCACCCAGGGACTTTGCTCCTCTGGCCCTCATGGTTTTGTTTTTAATCTCCATGGCAGGTGGGAGCCATCCGTGCATTTGTGGGGCCTGCCTACTGTTCCTACGCCTTCTTCCTGAAGCACAGAACGCTTTGTTAAAAAAATAGAAAAAAAAGACGCTAAAGTATATGTTTACCTCATCATTCCAAATAGTTTTGTAGTCCAGAATAAATTAATTTCCATTTAAGTTCATACAGTTAAACATGTGCTGGGTACGGAGAAGACTTGGAAGCCCACTAGAAAAACAAAGTGCACCTTGCAGTTCTCACACTTCTCTACCTATACTGAACACAACAGCATGTTCACCAGACAAAGTCTACGCTGTATAGTTGTTTCTTCCTTGGAAACTACATATATAATCTTTATAATACAATGTACATGCATGTGCATAAATTCACTTTTGAAACAACACCCCACATCTAAAACCAAGGAATAGTACAGATTTGCCATCAATAGAAGTAATATGCTTCATATCAAGATGAAAGAGATGTTCTAGTGGTCTTACTGTCTTAATATGATCTTTAAAAATCTGTTTCAGTAAAACAACAGATGTATTTTTTCCTGGACCTCCATCCTGCCTTTTCGTTTATTACATATGCCGACAATCTATGCTTTTTAGATTAAATATTCCCATTATAATTTTGGTTCCTCTGTCAACTTTCATATTTTCTCTGAATGTAACAAATCATTTTCTATTTTTGCATCTGATAAACAATTTTGCCCAACTAACCAACCAATCAGCAATCAGCCAACCAACCAACCCCCCCAACTATATACAGATCAAGGTTTTTAGGAGCAATTCATATAAAATATTACTTTATGGATTTTTTCCATTATTATGAGCAAGAACCAGCATAATCTGACATAAGGAGAAGAAGGTAATCTAGTTAAAGCTTACTTCAAAGCATAATGAACACATTGCAATATTTGCTCAAATTAGAGCTCTCACATTCTTATATACACTCCTGGACATTTGTGCCATAGTTATTAATTTTCTAGGACACTTGTTTCGAAGAAATACCTTCTTAGCTTTTCTTTAATTGATCAGTAGTCGTTTGAAGGCTGAATTATAATTATTACATGATAATGGACATATGTCACACATATGGGAACTGCAGGCTTATAGTTTCTGGAGGAAAGGGGGAAGCTCTTTCTTAAACAAAAAGATCTACAGCAATAGATAGGCAAGTCTTCATTTTAGGTATATGCTATGCTTCCAAATGCGGTTCTTTATCACAAAAGTCCCTTTAAGAGATTCACTATGGTGACTGGATAATTCTATCAACTAGATCGTAAGGAGTGATGTTTTTATTTTAAACTACTAAATACACTATCATCTAAGTAGGACATGAGCACTTGAGAGGGCTAGGTGACTGGAAAACTGTATTTTCTACAAGGAAATATTTTAAATATGCTTTTTCATTAATCTCAAATCAAGTGTTGATAAAGAAAGGTGATGGCTAAACCCTAGGAAATTGGATTGAGTAATTTCCTAGCAATCACCAGAAGAAAAAAAACCATGTAAACACAGAATCTTTTTGGTAAACAATAGTATGCTTTAGGAAATGCAAAGGGAAATAATTTCAGCAATGAGGACTGCCACATGACCTCAACGCCCAGGGTCAGAACGACCAGAATCAAGCAGCACTTCAGAGATGGGGTTTAGATGGCTGAAAACGCTGACCTGGGCTGGAGTGCAATCACAGTGTGTATTGATTTCCGGGCTTCTGTTGCACCAAGCAACGAGAGCGTTCCCAGGAACCGCCGGCTTTCCCCTCCCATCTCTGGCAGGGAAAAACTCCCTAGTGACAGGATGGCCACATCCTGTGGAGTGGTGTGTGCATGCCTCTGAATCGATAGGTGGCACGAGCCGGAGTCTGCCCCTGAGACGCATGCACAGGTGACACAGACCCAGCGCGCCCCTGGAGGACTCTGGGGTGGGCAGGCACCGAGGAAGGATCCGGTGTGAGTGCGGGCAGAGCGGCATCGGCTTAGAGAGGTTAGAGAACTCAAACGCGGCGCGGTGGCAGAGAGCAGCCTTTAGACCATGAAGCGGTGCTCCTTCCCGTCGTGGGCCATGAGGATGACGTTGCGGTTGGAAGTCCAGATGAGCCGCGCCAGCTTGAGGCTGTTGTGGGAGCCGGGGGAAGCGGGCTGCACGGGCGGCACCTGGTAGGTTTTGATGCAGCGCAGTTGGGGCGCCGAGTTCAACATGCCGATGCTGCCCAACAGGGACGTGTTCATCTGGAGGGACAGGGGACAGGAGAGCAAACAAGTCACTTGGGGAACCTCCCCTCTCCCTACCGCGGACACTGGTCCCGTCTCTTCTGGCCACGCACTTGAGGTCATTTTCTCCTCCTCAGTGGTTATTCATGTTCACCTAGGAGTTTACTCTTAACCTCTAAAGGGCTCCTTGCACTGTATTTGGAACGGTTTTGATGCTGTAACAGTAAATGCATAAATCTAGAGAAATTTTACTTTGTGGGAAGAGCCTGACAGCAGGAGAGTCCATCGATCTTGAGGAAGGGAGCTAAATTATAGCTGTTAATAAAATGGTTCAATTAGACAATACAGGTATTTGGGAATCGTAGGTATTTAAAACTGCAGACCTTTTTGTTCTTTAACAACAAAGCTAACTGCGTCCCCTGAAGGATGAGTCAATGGAGACAAGCTTTGGGATTTATAATTAGTTGAAGAAAGTGAGGCAGAGTTAAGCAGCAGACAGAGTGAGAGGTTATGTGATCAAAGCTCAAAACTCACCCCCCACTCCATTTCCCATCTACCAACACCTTCGCTCCTCTCTAGCTTTTTAAAACCTCAGTCTCTGGAAAGCTCTTGCTTATTTGGAAGGGAAAAACAAGAACCAGTTTCATCTCAACACTGTATCTGTGGCTCACTGTTTTGCTACCACACTCTAGAGAGTATCTTCTTAATACTTTATTGACAATATCTTTTTATCAGTTGGGGATTTCTGCTTTTTGAAAGTTTTTCCAGATTTGATTTAAGTTTCAAGTTTTCTTAATCCATTTGCATAAATGAAAAATAGCATGTAAACTATGACTCATGAACGACTATGCATTCAGGTCAAAGTGCTAAATATTGAATGGCACTCACCTAACTGAACTGTTTCCCGAGCAACTGCGTCTGAAGATTCCTTTAGATTCTAAATATTACTTAAAATGTTTGCAATATGCATCACTTTTGCTATTATAAATCACATGGAAAGCATACTGGAAATCAAGAAAGAGGCCTCGGAACTAATATTTTTTCTTTGTACTAATTCTCATTTCCAATTCTTCTCTCCAGCAAAACCTTCATCTGAATGTGTAACATTCTGGGGATTTGTGTGAAGCATGCACATTATGATCCAACATATACAAATGGTTGATCCGTGAAACCCTGGCAAATCCTAGGACATTTAAGATATGTTATTGCTGATATCATGCTCTGCATTTGGATCAGTGCAAAACACAAGCCATTCCTTTTTCTAGCCCTTCTCGGCAGCAGGCTGGTGTCAGAGGGCGTAAATCATGGCATCTCTAGCAGAGTGCACGCAGGCTCCGCTGACATTTTCACAATTTAAATCATCTTGAGTAATAACCCTTTTAAGATGACTAATGTTACTGATTTTCCTGCATTAATAATAGTGCCGAACACAACACAGAGGTGAAAAAAAATCACTAGTGTACGAGGTCACATTTTAAAACCAAATGTATGGTTATTGTTAACTCTTTCTGTTAGAGTTCAGGTCGCATTTACAGCCAGGCATTTCCTTACTGTCATCCTTCCGAAAGCCTCTTTCCTTGTTTCCTTCCCTCCTTTTCCGCAAAACTCCACAAAAGACAAAAATCAATGCTTTATTGCCTTCTTGGAGGGTCCCAAATAGTTTAAATGTAAATAATGATGGTGAGCTTGATTTGATAGTTCTCAATTCTGCAAAAAGTAACAGCATATAATAATGTAGCCCTCTTACAGAACAGAGTCCAACTATCTAGAAAACTGCTGGTTAACATTAGCTCGCATCAACAGTCATACTGTGCTTTTAAGAAACCTAGCTTCTCAGCTGATAAATAAAAAGTATTTTTCACTCTTCATAGATTTTCTATGAAAATATGTATGAAGCTTGATTTCTGCTGGTGGCTCAAAACGCAAGGGGCATACAATGCTCAGACACTTCTCTATTTTTAATTCTCTCCTTCAAATTTAGCTACAAACAAAAATGGGTTGAGGGCTATAGGCAAAGGAGGGAGAGAATATCTTCTGGGACTGGGAGATTTTAAGAAAAGGACATTATTATATCTGAATTTTCATTACAACCTGAGCCATCCCTACTCTGACAAATTCCTTTGGTGGGGTCAAATGAGCCATCGTGCCTCAGAACAGGGCTGTGTGAAATTCTGGAAGTTAAATAACTATTACAGTTGCATACAGTTGGAACTAAAATTCACTGTTTTCCATGTCATCCTTTCCCTACCATGTCTTCAAATTAGGCATGAATCTGAAATAGCAATTTTTCCAGTAAGCCCAGCCAAAGAACTCTCCCTGAAACAATTAACCATTTTGTTATTCAATATTAATGCTTTCTTGCCCAACAACGGCTACAAACTATGTTCAAGTAAGGGCAACCTGAACCTCGGATGAAAGCAATCTATGTCATGGGACAGATGAAAAATTTAAAAAAAGAAAAAAAGAAAGAAAACTACATGGAATTGTAAGTTTAGTAACATTAAGTTTCTTCCTGATTACAAAGATAGAAAATACTCATCGTGGAAAAGTCGAATAATAAAGAGAAGTATAAAGAAGAAAGCAAAAATCCCCTGAAATCTCATTTCCTGGAGATAATTGCTGTTAATAGTTTGGTAAAACACCTTTCCAGACCTCCGTGTTAAATACATAGAGGAGAAGCAGATTTAAGGAATTTTACATAAACAGGCTCCTATTAAAAGGCAGCTTCACAATCTGTTTTTTCATCCAACAAAATGGTGAGGGCAATCTTCTCATGTTAATGACTATGGATTTACATCATTCTTTTTAAATGGTTGAATAGTATTGTGTTGTATTACAGAGTAAATAAAAATAAATGAAACCAATATCCACCTAATTTATTATTAGCATTTCTGAAAGAGGATATTTATTTGTTGGATGATGGTGGTATGATTTAGGTGAGAGGATTGTGAATGTATTTCACTACCAAACTCCTCTTGCTCAAATACCAATCTGAAGGGAAATATTATAGAAATATGATGTTAGAAAAATCAAAGGGCTTGAAAGATTGCCAAATTAGTTCATTCAATAGATAAGTATGTAAACTAACTAAAATCCAACTTTGGCTTTTTCCTTCCCTTCAAAAATAATGTTTCACAAACCAGCTCTGTGAAGATTTTCTGAATACACAGAAACACATGCAGATATAATTCATCACAACAGGAAATGTTTTAATGCTATCCTCAATGTAAGTAATGCTGCACGCAAACCTTTTACTAAGTCTCTCTTGAGTAATTATCCAAGCAATATTTCTCATTAACACTCATTTCTCAGCAAAGATTTTAATAGCTGATAGCTTTAGTAAGGTTCTGTATTAATAAGACTTCATTAAGTTTTCAAAATATATTACAGTACACTTACTGGAATAATATAAAAGTATTCTCATACATCATTACAACTAAACAACAAGTATCTAAATAAATCAGCAAAGCCCATTTGGGGAGAGCAGCAGCAGATCTAACACTGCTTTTTGAACTCTCTTTAATTCAAATAAAAGAGCACTACACTTCTAGAAGAGGTTTCATTGTGCTTTCTTGAGAAGGCTGAAATGATATTTCTGTGCTTTCCATTAAAATTTTAAGACTGAGCTGATTATAATTTCAACATCCAAAACATGGGCTGCATTTTCAATGCTGACATTGGTTTTAGAGGCAAGAACGTTCTGGGTGTTGCCTGCGTCGCTGTGGTGCTCTGGCACGTGCAGGGATACAAGACAGCCCTAGGAGTGGGCGAGAGCTCGTGGACTACAGAGCCGTGCTGCAGCCCCACTGTTTAAGTGTGCTTGGCAAAGCCCAGAGACAACAGCAGGAGCCTGCAGAGAGAGACTGGAAGATGAAAAGAGGTACCTCAAAAAGATATCTAACGCATGAGCTTGATCTCTAAGGTAAGAAAGGATGCTACCCACAACCCCATCAATGAGCTGGACAGAAACATTGATGGAAACAGATAAATATTCAAGGAAGGGATGAACATACCCAACTTGAAGATCTAGACAAGGGGAACAAGAAAATGGACCACTTGGAAAATTTCACTTAAAAAATTCTGAGAAATACTAGAAATAGTTTCAAATCTGGCTAATTTTTGAGGTATTCCTTTATATAACAAATTATATTTACTTAGCAGAAAGAAAGTTGGATAAAAAGAAAAGTGAGCTTCTGTTTGTTTATTCCAAAGAAGAAAGCCTGGACAAAACACAAGCTCTTTGCAAGCAGGGCCCCATGCCTTACTGATCTCTGAATCTCTACAGCACAGGCTGGTACCTACCACTTGGGAGTGCAGTAAATATGGAATGAATCTCCAAGATCTCAAGAGAAGAGGAAATAAAGGAAACTCTGTATCAAAGTACAGTTGGCATAATAGAGACCATTGTGTCAGACATGAATGGAAAAAAAAACGATGCACAGCTAAAGTTTTGAAATAACCATTGTTGTGTGACTCCAGTTTATGAACACCTAATGGACTCACTATGTGTTTCAGTAGTAGAAAACCACAGAACTGGTTTACCACTAGGAAAAACCGAAGACTGAGCAAGATCTCTGACAGAAAGAGTTTAGTACGAGCTAATTAAGATGCTGGAGATATATTCTGGAAGAAAGGATAATGAGAAAATAAACTGGAAAACTAAATTAGATAAAAGTAGAAAAAGTCTGTGACAGATTTTGACGTTGTCATGCTTTAATAGCATGCTGTTAATTAAGCAATTTATTGTATCCGTTTTACATTTTATTAGCTATTGATTTCTTTTTAAGCCATCATCAAGTTGTGCTGAAGGCTTGTTTAAACTTTTGTTTTAGCTTCAAACCAAATAAAGTGAATCTCATAAAACATACTTACACCTTAGGAAAACAGTAACAACAACATTTTAAATCAACTTTTTTGGGGGGTGGTGGTAACATTTACTTTTTTTTGTAATTATCAGGACTAAAACCGTAAGGTAATTAAAAAGAAGATGGAATGAAGATTAAGCACCGAGGATGAAACAAGTTCTATTGTAAAAATTAGCTGCTCAAAATTAACATTTATTTGAATCAGAATTAAACGAAGGCATTCTCATGAACTGCCAGCCAAAGATACTCAGATTTTTAAAAATGTCTGACTATTTTGGGAATTAAGAGCATTATGTGGGACATTCAGAATGCGAACAAAAATGAGATAATTATAAAGGAGGCGTGAAGTGAATACTAGGAAAATATCTCATTGCCCTATGCCCTGATATTGTCGCAGACCCAAGGACCTTGTTGAACGGCTTGTGTAAATTATAGGCCTGAGCGAGGCCTTCCTGCCACATCCCCGCAGGGCAGGCCCTCACACAGGCCTCCCCAGCTTTCTCCCGTCTCTCGGCGCACACACGTTGTCTCTCCTTAACCACCCGCTCCTCCGGCTGAGCCTGGACACCGGCCTCCTCACAATCACTCACATCTCAGCTTCCCTGTCGCTTCCTCTGGAAAGCCTCCCCACGCCCACGTGCTCCGTCCCCCTGCACTGCGTGTACCCTGATTGCTTATTTATCCGTGTCGACTGCAGACTGGAAGCTCTGTGAGAGCAGATGCCCCCTTTCCAGACTGCTGATGGTACTCTCAGCACCCTGCATGCTCGTGCCTGGCTCACGACAGTAATCAGCAAATGTTTGTTGGAAGAAGGGGTGGTGGCAGGAAGGACGGCTGGCACATAGGCTTGACGAGAAGCCTTACCTACCACCTACTAAAAGCGTACCGTGCAGTATACACGTCAAAACCCTGTAGCATGTGCCCTTACCTGCCAGAAAGAAATGTGGCTGTCGGTGTTCGAGTAGGTGGCAAGATATCGTCCATCGGGAGCAAAGGCCACTGCAGTGATCGGTCCCTTGTGTCCGTGGATTGTCTGAAATAAAAATTCAGACATCATTAATGGTATGCATTCCGCAGAACTATTACAACCACGCATGCAAATGCATTTAATACTGAGCAAGTTACATCACGGATACTAGATGCTGTGACATTCTTTGTTTATACGATCAGGTTAGAAAAATTTTAAAAAGCAACCAAAGTTCTCTCTCTGGGGAACTCTCCAAGGGCTTCGATCTTGTTCTGAGGAGTCCACCTGTCTCCCAGTTGGGAGGACACCATGAGCCCAAAGAAAAAGCATATATTAATGAACAAACCAATGTGTCAATTCATTTATGTCCATTAGAAAGAAGAATTTTACGACTAATTAGAAAGGTAAGAAACTGATCACCAAAACTATCCAGGAACCTTGCTCATCTGAAACAAAAACCAATCAAAGCTGCATCACAAAATCCCTGCTCTGGAAGGAGTCAAAGACTATAATTTTAACTCCTTAATAATTACACATTTTTCATGTTTTATGCTTCATTTCTCCCCGATAACACTGTGTTTAAATGCACATAGCTGCAATTAGTAAATATACATACATACACGTGTTGGAGGTTTGGGCACACATATAAATCAAATATCATTAAAAACAAGTTAACAGAAATAGTTTTGAATCTCTGCCAAATAGCTACCATTGATTTAACCATGAATAATAAAAAGGAGGCTGTATTTTAGACTAGGTCTTTGATAAAAGGTCCTTCCTAACAAAAAAATACACTCAAGCCTGATGATATTAATAATTACAGAAAACACTGGCTTACTAAGCAAGTTAGCATATTGTATTAATCTCCCAACACTCAACTATTAAAAACCATACCTCTGCCACCTTAACCAACATTCAGTCTGGCTCACAAGCCATAGGTCTGTCTCTTCCCTTTGTCTAGAAAGGAGTGGGAAATGTGAGCCTTCAACTAACGAAGTACCAGAAAGGTTTGTGTTCAGCCGTCATTTCTGATGGAGAATCGTGAGCCTTGAGTCTCAGTGAGAGCATCAGGCTCCTTGCGTGATTCAGCCCATACAGACTGTCAGTTTCAGTAAGGCTTTTTTCATAATTCATTTCTGAATGACTAAAATGAGGAAGAGGAGCAAGGAAATGGGTAGGGGACACAGCACATTCCTCACTGCCTTTTGCATTCTGTTCTTTCCTGTCATTAGATTTTCAAGGCACTGTGGGATCCAAAAATAACACCTGTTCCCTAACACTCAAAGAAAAAAATGCCATATTGGTAATATAGCACTGGGCTTTGGACAGGCAGAGAGCACTGATTTGAGTCACACAGTCTGGGTTTGCTTTTGGGCTCCACTACTTACTAATTGTGGATCCCAGGGCCAAGTTATTTAAAGTACTTAACACCTGAGCATCCATGTTTATAAGGTGGGGATGGTGATGATGATAACGACAGTATGTAACTCACAGAGCTTTGTGAAGATTAAATGAGATAACACATACTCTGCACAATGCATGGAAATAAGAATTCAATAGTATTAGTATTTTACTATTAAAATACTACTGGCTTGCTTAGAGATGAGCAAATGTAAACAATCACATAACTCAATTACTTGACTGTGTCATTTAATGGGCACCCTCCCCAAATGCCCTGACCGTATATTTCGAGATTCAGTGTCACTTAGCATACCAGGTTGCCTAGAAACACAGGCTTCAGACTGGCATTTTATTGCACAGATGTGGTAACTACCCATGGTGCTGGCCCACGAGAGTACAAAATTAAACTAAAAGAAGCACTTGTTGAATAATTATTGCAAGAAACCAGCTTAACATCAACTATACGAGAATGAAAATTATTCAGGCAGGAAAAAAAAAGCCTCAATCAATTAAGCGGGAAAAAGTGGCCATTCCCACTTACTAGGTCGGTTGAATGAGCTCACTGGGAAAGCGTTTGAAATTGTTTTTTAAAATCAAGATTCAGTTCTGCTGAAAGTTTGAAATTCTCTTAGGCCAATCTGAAGCTAGTTTATGGTCAAGATAGTTGATTAGCAAGACTTATAACATAGGTTGCAAACTAAAGACCCTTAAACTGAAACCAGATTATAGGTATGTTTGGTTTGGCCTGCAAAAATGTAAAAAACCCATTTTTTTTGAGCCCCTATTTCTGACTCATCTTTTGTAAAATCAAGATTTCTAGCCTCTCCTGAAAAACTGGAGGATATCCTGAAAAACTGGGCCTTTGTTCACACACGGCAATGTTGGCCAGAGCGGAGTGGAGGTGGCCACCACTGGGCATTCACTCTTCACTTCACCAATCCAGCACTGACACAAAAGAAGACCTGTGTACCAGGCTGCCCGGCTCACTTAAGTCCTGCCTGGGCCCCCTTAATGTAACCGTTCCAATATTTGATTGAAAATAATTTTTCCATGCTCTGGGATCCTAGTAGCCATATAAAACTGTGAGTAGACTAAAAAAGTTCTTCTAAGAAAAACTGGCCCTTCTTAAAAGCCCCCCCAAAACCCAACTCTGTGCCGAGGTAGGCTGATCCTCCTTCTGGAGATTGGGCCCCCAAATTTCAAAACAAAATGCCAAGACTGCCTCTTCCAGATTAGCATCCTTCCTTCATCAGCAACCCAACATACTGGAGACAATTAGAGAATGCAACAGTGAGCTGACCACACGCCAGCAGGCCCAGAGGATGTCACAACGGACATGTTAACGCCCCTTTCCTGGAGGTTCGGCAAGTTAGCCCTGTTGCGAAAACAGAAATCCAGAGACACTGGGAACACCCTTCACCTTTAGAGCAGTTTTCTCTACATATTTCATAGGATGTCTTCATCTTTTACAGAGGGCTGGAATTTAAAACAGCCACTTGAAGAATACTTCTATGTTATTTGAAGACACAATTATGTTATCTAGTGTCTCTAATAGAAGTTCCTGTGAAATAGGTTCATCCTGGAATTTTCTGCCAGGAAAATGGTTCTCTTTCTAGATAAATTTAGTTGTTTTCTTTTTGTCATGTATCAATAACTACGTAATCTAACATGTGCTTGCTTTACTGCCAAGAAACTCAGAACTAAATTTATGCTCATTCTATGTGTCTTGTAATAAATACTTCCTACTCAGCTCACTAACCACTGCTCTGTTTTGATTTGCCGTTGTTGCTGAGGTCCTGTCACATACTGAGTTCAATGTTGTTACTTTCTTTAAGGTCTTTTTTGGACAACAGGAGACTACACTTTGGATCAGAACATGAACACACACCCACAGCACAATACTGCCAGGTGTCCCACAGAGCTGACCTAAGGAAAAACCACAGAGCACTGACTGCTGCTGACAGACCGACCGACCGTCTGACAAGCAAGCAAGCACCACTTGCGGCAGTGCAGGGAAGCTCGTAGTTTAAACGGTTTGGTGCATCTGGTGAGCTCATTACAATCTCAGCCTGAGAGGTGCTTCAGCCCTCGCTGTAATGGAAATGTTGCCATTGTCTTTTGTTCAGACTCTGAACTGGTAAGATCTGTGCAGGCCCCACCTGATCTGACTTTAACCTCTACTCGGGCAACAGAGATGCAGCTGTGGGATCCCATCCAGCTCTTCAAGTGCTTTGTGACGGGTGAGCCCTGTGGTTGGGTCTGAAATGCAGCTACACCCTAAAGAACACTTTCTAAAACAACAGGTTTCAACATAAAGAGAGGTTTGGTCGACTTTTTATGTGTGAATGAGTAGCATGCCTTGTTATATATTTTTAGGCAAAGAAATTGCTATCTTGAAAAGAGAGAAATGTAAAGAAGTTAGTCTAACTGATGAAGTTCTATGAACAATTAAAAAAAATTCAAGCAACTATTCCTGGCAGAGGACAGAGTGTTGAACTGTTAAACACCCTCACCCCTTTTTCTTATGAAAGAAAAAGAACTAGAGGCAGGATTAAAAAATGAGCAATACTTACACGTACCCAACAGTTTTTAACAGACATCTTTAATGTGCTCTGCAAAGAAATGTAATTAACCTGGTTGTATGAGAAGGAAATGGAGATTAGATTCTCTAAAATGATTAGGTCAGTGTCAACAGATGCCTATAAACCTAGCACTCTGGGAGGCCAGGGCAGGAGGATCGCTTGAGAATAGGAGTTTGAGACCAGCCTGAGCAAGAGCGAGACTCTGTCTCTATAAAAAATAGAAAAACCAGCCGGGCATGGTAGAGCATGCCTGTAGTCCCAGCTACTCGGGAGGAAGCTGGAGAATTGCTCAAGCCCAGGAGTTTGAGGTTGCTGTGAGCTACGATGATGGGACTGCACTCTAGCTGGGGTGACAGAGCAAAACACTGTCTCAAAACAAAAAAGAAAAACAACAACAGGCCGGGCGCGGTGGCTCACGCCTGTAATCCTAGCACTCTGGGAGGCCAAGGCGGGCGGATTGCTCGAGGTCAGGAGTTCGAAACTAGCCTGAGCAAGAGCGGGACCCCATCTCTACTATAAATAGAGAAAGAAATTAATTGGCCAACTAATATATAAAAATTAGCCGGGCATGGTGGCGCATACCTGTAGTCCCAGCTACTCGGGAGGCTGAGGCAGAAGGATTACTTAAGCCCAGGAGTTTGAGGTTGCTGTGAGCTAGGCTGATGCCACCCCACTCACTATAGCCTGGGCAACAAGCGAGACTCTGTCTCAAAAAAAAACAAAAAAACAAAAAAACAACAGAAGCCATACTATCTAGAATATCTCTTTAAAATTGCTCTTTACGTGGTCTGTGTCTTCCTAGAGTTCTTGATATTCAAATTCCAAATGACAGGTCTGGGACTCGGAACCAAAAAGTATGGATCTATTATGCCCACTTTAGAGGCTGAACAAAATCAAAGAGAACATTTCACATTTATTTGCAGGTCTCATCAATTTTTTTTAAGGGGGAAGGGGAAGCCTAATCAGACAAAACATTTTCTTAATTTTAACATAAATTACAAAGAAAAGATTCCCAAAAGTAGATAAAATTTTGCTATCATAAATACCGTCGAATCATAAAGTACTAACCCATGTATCTTGTAT